AGAGGCTCCAGAGAGGGAGCCACATTCGTGGCACAGAGAACACTGAAGAGTGCAAGGAGCAGATCCTCAGGGTTCTGTAAGGACAACAGGCACAGGCAACAGGCAGCTTCTCGGTGAGGCAGCCATTTTACTCCTTTTACACCAAAAAGATTTGGATATTTTAAAACTGATATAACTGGGCTTTGGAAGCTGTTTTGTTTTAACCAGTAAAGTTCCAAAGATAGCATCGGGAGTTCCCGTATACCCTCCCTTTGGTTTCCTACAATGTGAGTGTCTTATGTCATGATGGGACATCTGTCACAACTATGGAACCCACACTGACACATTACTCACAACTAAATTTCACAGTTTATTCATATTTTACTACTTTTTTCTCTAATGCCCTTTTTCTGTTCCAGGATCCCATCCAGGATCATTTTCTACACTGAGCCATTACGTCTCCTCTGGTCTGTAATGTCTCTCAGACATTCCTTGTTTTGGATAACAAATTTGAGGAATGCTAATTAGCTATTTTGTTTGGAGAATACCTCCCCCCCAGACAACAAAACCACTATTTCATGTTTTCCCACGAGGAGACTAATGTTACTCGTCTTGGGGAGGAAGACCTCCGTTATGATCTGGATTAAAAGTGTCCCCCAAACAACCAGAGGCTAAGGACACTGTGGCACAATGGTGACACATCTGACTCCCAAGGCCGACATGCTAAAGGCTCGGTCACAGCCTGTGGCATATTAGAAGGTGGGGGAACCTTGGGGCGGGGGGGGGGGGGGGGGGGGGGGGGGGCGGCGGCTAGTGAGAGGAAGTTAGGTCTTTGCGGGGCGTGTCCTCAAAGGAAACACTGGGACCCTGGCACCTCCTCTTTGTCTCTCAGCTTCTTGGCTGCTAGGAGGTAAGTATCTTCCTTCACCATTTGCTCCTGCCATGATATACTTTCTGCCATAGTCCCAAAGTGACAAGGCCAAGCAACCATGGACTGACACCTTCAAAACCATGAGCCACATAAATCTTTTCTTTTGATGTGATTTAGCTCAGGTATTTGTCACAGTAGCAGAAAGCTGACTAACCCAGAGGTGAAGAGCTAAGTTCGTGACATCATCAAACAGACACCTAACAACATCCATCACTGGTGATGTCAGCGTTGACAGGTAGGTAGTGTTTGATGGGTTTTCCTACTGTAAACTTACCTTCCCACCCCTTCCCATATTCTACTTTTTGCAAACAAATCATTACGCGCCATCACTCAGAAAGTGGGGAATTGTGCCCCACCTCCAATGGAGGAACAGCCACGTAAATTATTTGAAATTCTTCTCTATGGGAAATGTGCCTCTTCTCTTATTTATTCATTTATATAAACATGGGCTCACAGATACTTGAGTTGCGCTGTCAGTGATAAGGCAATAAGATGTCACTTATTTCATTGTTCCAATCTTCCCAGTTGGACTAATGGGAGCAATTTAAGGATGGCCCCTGCATCCTTTGGATGCATCCCCTTCATCTTGTGTTTTGAACATTTTCTTACTTTCTGCTTCTCTACATTTGACCAACAAAATGCCTTCTTTAAAGAAAAGGCAGCTAGGAGCTGGGGTGGTGGCTCAGTGCTTGCCTAGCACATGTAAGGCACTGGGTTCGATCCTCAGCACCACATTTAAAAAAAAAAATGAAATAAAGATATTGTGTCCACCTACAACTAAAAAGTAAATATTTTAAAAAAAAAAAAGAGAGAGAGAGAGAGAGAAGGCAGCTAAGGATTGAATTAAAATTCTTACATCAAAGTCCTAGTCCCCGGTACTCAGAATGTGACCTTATTTGGGAACTGGGTCACTGGAGAAGTTAAAATAGGTCATCCTAGAATAAGATGGGCCCCTGATTTAACATGACCAGTGTCCTTCTAAGAAGGAACAATTTAGGGGCAGATAGCACACAGGGAGAATGTCACCGTGAGGAAGAAGGCAGAGAACAACAGGATGCTTCCGTAAGCCAAAATGGCCAGCAGCCACCAGGAACCAGGGGCAGGCACCAAACAGGTTCTCCCACAGCTTCAGAAGGAACCAACTCTGCTGACACCTTCATATCGGACTTCTAGGCTCCAGAACCATGAGGTGACAAATTGCTGTAGTTTGAGTCACTTGGTTGTGGTACTCTGTTATGGCAGCCCAAGGAAACTAATCCAATGGCTAATGTTACCGAGCTCTCTGCGTTTATATTAAAAAACAATCCACAAATTGTTCTTTGGTATCCAAAAAAGAAAAGGGAAGAGAATAAAAAATTAAGAGTCGAGGAGCACCCAGCAGACGTCTCACAGGGCACACCAGAACCCAGAAGCACGGGCCGTGGATGGCAGTATTTGGCTTTATATTTGGATGCAAACAAGGTTTGGGGCTGTCTTTCCAGACTCCTCATCTTCCCTGCAGCTTCCACCACCTGCGGCTCAGTTCAGCATTACCTGCCAAGCACACCTGCAAGTACTAGCAATAACTGCCCATCTGGTTAATCATCACCTTCTCCAGCACACAAAGTACCAGATCCATAGAAGCCCAATCCTTCCCTGGTGACCTTCACGGCAACAGGTGATTCCCAGCATCACAGAAGACCTGGCCAGATCATGCCAATTCAGCAAGTTTTGGTCCCAGTTCAATGACTCACCTTGTTCCACTCCCATCTTCCTAAAGTCATGCCAACAAGTAGCCTGGTGGCTTAGAGTCGAGTTGAAGACCACATCACTGTGAGCCATAGGAATAGCAGACCATCATCTATTGTACTGAAGTGGTAGCTTCAGTACGATTTCACAGATGAGAGACTCTGGAAGCAAACCCCAGGCTCTCAGAGGAAGGCTTGAGGGTCTCCAGGGAAGAGGCAGCGAGGGCTCTCGGAGTCAAGGCATGGAAGAGCAAGCTAGAAGCTGACCTGTCATCTCACTCCATATCCAGTGACCTTGACGGAGGTGAAATCTAAGCACCTGCATGGGTATGTGGTAGAAACGCTTTCCCCCTCATTCAACTGGGAGAAAAGAACTGCAGATGACAGAACAGAACAGGACCTGAAGTATTTGTTTGGAAATTATTTTCCCCATAAAAACCCTGCTTTGTCTGTATTTTTATGCCTATATTAAAAATCAAAATGAAGTCGTTAGGCTGAGGCCAGCTCAGAAAGCCTCCTGCCTGAGTACACATTCCTCCTGCAAGCCCCAGAGCTCCACTATAATCCCTCAAATTATTAAATAATTACTACGTTTCCCTTGGGGTCACATTTGGCAACAAAATACTGGCCTAAATGAACCAATGATATGACCAGTGATGTTCTTAACTTCATGTTCTTAACTTCCTAGAAGCAAAGGGATACGAAATCCTTCTGAGGCAAAACTGGAGAAGTAAGTGAAGTGTATTCCCTGCAATTTGGAATGTGTGTGTGTGTTGGCGGGGAGGGGGCACAGAATGACAAAGGAACATGTAAATCCAGAATCCAGGAAATACTTCAATAATCAGGGTCCTCTCCCCCACCAACCCCGAACATTTGCAATTTTCCACTCCAGTCCCAGTTCTCTTCCATTTCAGGAGTGGCTACAGCCACAAGGAGAAAACCAACCATATGGCTCTGTCCTTCTGGACATTTCTACAATGTCAGCTGGGCTGCTTTGGAAAATCCCATTTTATCTCCTACAGCTATATGACCTCAAGTTGTCATTCTGAATAAAGTATGCTTCCACTGATTTTTATGAACACAGACAAAAGCTGCTACAACCTTTTTTTTTTTTTAAACCTTGCAAACCAACTGTAGTTGCTATGTAGGGTTATTTGTTTCTAAGGCAACAGCGTATATCTAAGTACTAATGGCCTGTCCTTTTGCCAGGCAACAAACAGCCTTGTGAAGCAACTGCACCTGTCTCGGCTACGCGTTACTATGGAGACACTCCAGTTGCTATAGCTACCATCACGCTAATCGCCTAGCAAACGCAGACATACAGCAGTCTTCTCAGAGAGCCCAGCTGTTCCTCCCCATCTCTTGCTGAAGACTGATTGTCTAGGGCCTGTGATGGAATGCTTCTCGGCTGAGAGGCACAAGAACTTCATTAATGCCATTTTGGAGGATCACTTTGTGCTGCCTCCTACAGAACCAGCATCAGACCAGGAGAAGCCTCTGCGAGAAGTGGACTATAAAACTCCAGAAATCTCTTGACACTATGCCACTCCCAGTTCACATAAACGTGTCGTCCAAGGACAAGTTCTCTTGACTAGGGTAGCTGCCACAAAAACATTTCTATATATCTTCTAACATAATTTTGAAATTTTGAGGGATGCACTTTGGACCCAAGCACCATGTGTAGATAAAATCCACTTTAAAATGCTGTTTCATGTCATATGTCTCTTTCTTTGAATCTAACGTTAATATGCTTTTTCCAAAAAATGACAATCTACTTAACCCTTCACTCTGATTATAAATTAGTAAAAATGGCACTCATGACCTCAATCTCCCAACACATGGGCGTGAGGAGAGCAGAGGTCTCCATTGTCCCCTACAGTTCCTGAAGAAGCAAACACCAAGTAACCACAACAAACCCATCACTTAGGAGCACCGTCTACATGGAGACCAGGAAAGACAACAACCCAGCGAGCATTCTCACAACGCCAGCAGACCCTGCTCAGGTCAGGGGAAGATGGCATCGCTCGCCTGACTCATTCCTGTATGTTTATCCCAACAGAACGTGACACCCAGAGATATGAAAGCTGTCAGCTTTTCTTTGTAAATGTTTCTACTCAGGAAGACAATATTTTACCACCATGAAGTCTTCTGGAAGCACTGTTCCCCGAGAGGAGCAGAAGCGGTAAGGTTTGCAGGAAATACAACAATGGATATGCCTACTAACAATATTTCATTTCTTTCTCATTTATCTGCAGTTATTTTTGAAACCTCACGCAGCCTATGAAATTAGTTGCAGTGCCTGCCTCTGCCAAAATAAAAGTGATTTCAGTAGATCCCCCCAAAAGAAAGAAGGTACTGCTTACCTTTGATATGCCTGAGGAGAGGTGGGAGGTGGGTGGTAAGGTGTCTTTTTCAAAGCCTGAATTAGATTTTGTCTATACTCTGGGTCTATGCACCATAACGACCCTTTCCCAATACTCTGCAAAGGAAATTAAAATACAAAAGCATTAATACAGAAGTGTCAAGTATTTTGCAGGAAGGAGATATACAGCTACTACCCTAGTTATTTTTAAAAGCTTCTCATTTATTTGTTGACTGTTGGCCAGACTTAAATATCATCCTCAGACAACAAAACACCATAAAATGCTTTTAAATCTTCCTCGTATTAAGTTTGACAGACCCAGTGAATGTCATTACCAGATTATACTGATACAATGATAAAATTTTCATATCCAAACTACCCCCAAAAGGAAATCCTTCATGATTCTTCAGTGTCAACACTGAACAACAATATGAATTCTCTTCTAAAAATCTTTAATTTTGCCAGATTTCAAATGTTGAAGGAAAAAGAGCTGAGACACCCTCAAAACTATCTCTGCTTTAAAAACTAGAGTTATGTTTATACACCACATTATGTCAGCGCCACTTTACAAAAATGGAAAAGTTAGTCCACTTGTTTTTTTTCTAACTTCTCACAAAATGCTTGGAATGGATTTGGGCAATTATCTTCCCCAAGAAACAAAAGATCCCAGGCACCAATGATAACCCTAAGCCAGAATCCGGCATTTGTTTTTTTGGATTCCTCAGTTCACAGCAATCTGCTCCAGCCTTAAGAGTTGAATCTTTAGAAGTCAAATTTTAAAATGCAAATTTCCTCAAACTGTTCCGTGGAGATGAGGAAGTTGTCCTGGAGGCCCACTTTGGGGCTGGCTGGAGGCATTTGGTCTATGATCAGCATATTTTAAAAAAATGTTAAATCCTGCCTCCGTGGCCATTGGAGCTGGCAGCAGGCCAACGGGCAGTACTCTGTAGCTGCAAGCTTTCAAGTGACCCAGTGTACCCAAATTGTTGATGTGGTTGATTTGTAAATATTTACCGATTTGGAAAGAAAAGAAGTCAAATTACTTAAACCTGTGTCCACTCCATGCTTTCAGCCACACACTCCCTTATTTTCACAACTGTTCCACTACAGGAAGATTGGTGCTGTCTTCCAACATTTAGAAAGCAAACAAGAAAAGCATTTAACGACCATGAGGGGGGAGGGGAGGCCTAGAAAATTCCAGAGAAGGAGAACCAAACACAAGTTATTTTCAAACATGTATAAAGAAGTTTTTTAAATTCTGTGTTTCAATCTTCAATTCAAATAGTTTTCTTACAAACCTTATTTATCCACAGCACCCATGAAAATACTATCAATAACACCAGCAAACAGGGCAACCAGAAATCATCAATTTTGTGGCTCTGAGAACAGGGGAATGGCACAAAGCCAGGGTCACAGGCTGGCACCTGGGGCCACCCCAGGCACCCAGCTCCAGCTGCAGTTCTGACCCCAGACGCAGGTCTGGGTCAGGTGGGCCTGTGTTATGATAAATGCCAGTTTGATCATCTGGATGCTGAGAGCCTGGGAGACTTCAACTTTGGAAAATGCAACAGTCCTGTCCTGGCCTTCCCTTTCATGCATTCATTTTCAAATTCAGAAGAGTTCAGGGACCTGATGAGATTTTCCATGTAAAACTGGCGGGCTACCCAGGAATATGCCCCGGAGCTTCCATCTTTCCCTGTGGAAAAAAAGCTGTGCAGCACACTTTTTAAAGAAAGCCAAAAGGTAAGGAGTGGGGAGGTTAGGGAGGGGCAAGGGAGAGCAGGATTTAGCACAAGTGGATAAAGTAAACAAACCGACAAGGATGTCAACCTCCTACAGCACTGGAGGGGTGGGGGGGGAGACTGGCCTGACCCCACCATCAAAGGCTCCTCTGGAGCCCTGGGCCAGGGGTCTTCCCTTCAGGTACCATACAGCATGGTCTAAACTGCATGGAGGGCCATCGCTGTCTGCAATCCAAACATTTCTGCAATGAGATTATCTCACTTCTGGAAACCTAAGAGCTTTGGGTTTTATCACAGTGGCTCTCAGACTAGAGGAATTTAATCTTACACCAAAAATCCAAGGACAAAGCAAAGAAGGACAACTGGCCCTCTCAGGTAAGTAATGATAAGTCAGTGGTTCACTATGATTCACTACTGTTTTAAAACTAGACGAAGTAAATCCCCAGATTTGTGCAGAACTTCACACAGTAACTGATCCAGATGCAGAGGGGCAGGCAGGGAAATGGTAAGAACAGGTGGTCTGGGACCTCAGAAAGTCATGGCTTCCTCACTGGTAGAGACATGTACAAAGCCCAGGATGGCAAGACACAAAATCCTACCACAGTGGCTGCAACTTACAGGCAGCCTCATGTACCTCACCTATCTTTGTTTGTTTTTGCTACCAGGGATTGAACCCAGGGGCATTAGACCACTTAGCCACATCCCCAGCCCTATTTTTGTATTTTATTCAGAGACAGGGTCTCACTGAGTTGCTTACTGCCTTGCCGTTGCTGAGGCTGGCTTTGAACTTGTGATCCTCCTGCCTCAGCCTCCCAACCTGCTGGAATTACAGGCATATATGACCGGGCCGGCTAACCTAACCTTTTTGACAAAAGAAGGGAGACCAAGTGTGGCTGGACAACGTTTCATTAAATCAAATCTGAGGAGTCTTCAGCTCCATCAGTGTTAGGATGAGGGCCCTCCAGCAAAGTGCCTGTATGCATGAGCTGCTGGCCTGGCTTCAGTGAGCTTTTCAACATTCTAAGATCCTCCTTTATTTTTGCACTCCCTCTATCTGTCTTCTCTGCAAACCACACCCCAGGCACAAGCTATCACAACTCTTCCCCTTCTTAGTAAGCCAACATCAGCCATGAGTAACCACCTCCCTTCTAGAAGTTTCCTTTCACCCAGGTCTTTGGAGTGTGATTATCCAGCTAAGGTTTAATTCCAAATTTGGTCAATACTTGTGGCCAAATGTACTCCCAATGCTCATTAACCAAAGAAATGTTCTCAGGCTTTGGATCCTAAGTAATGGTTCCCACCTTGATGGGTCCTACGCTGGAATTCCAAAGAGAAAAAACAAACAAATGAAATGCTTCTTGGGGACACACCCCTAGGGACTGTCAATGCCTGCAATTTTAGGGCCAGCATCAGGCCACGCTTGGGGGGAGCCCCAGAGGAGGCTGGGCGAGTACCTCATTTGCAAGCCTTCCTGGTTGCCTGTAGCAGTTCAGAATAGTAAAAAGGTTTACTTGACAATTTTTTAAAATGGAAATGTGCAGAGGATAGAGTACTCAAGTTTCTGAGGCTACGGGGAAAACCATACTGAATGCCCCTTACAGGGGAAAGAGGGTGTGATTTGATTTTAGTTGCACAATAAGCTTGAGACTCGGAGCTTTTACAGAAATGACTGCATTTCAGATGAAGGCAAGCATGTGCAGTCTTTTTTGTTTGGAATGGAAATAACTATGAAGGCCATGCACCATTAAGTGTTAAGGAATTCACAATAATAAAGGAAGAAAATGTCATTTATAGATACATTTTCATTATATATAAATATAACATTCACACCCTGAGAGAAAACTAATGTGAATAAGGTAGAAAATGAGTAAAAAGAATGAGGCCAAGTTTTTATATTTTTTTTTTAATTAAAAAGCACCTGGGGAATAATACCTCTGTTAATAATAATAATAAAAAAAAATACACAAGAGGAACAAGAAAGAAAGAGGAGCCTATAGTATATACAGACTGAAGTGATAAGTGAAAAACATCTGGAAAAAAACAACTAAATTAAACTCTAAATCTAAAGGTATCATCTTTCCACGTGGCCTCCAGGGAACATCCTGTGGTTCATGCCTCTATCCCACGTCCCCGCAGCACTTCAGACCTGCACTAAGGCACCTGCTGGTCTATGTGACACTGGTCTCATGTTAGGGACCCTTGGTTAGATTGAGGATTCTGGAGGAAAGACACTATTTTTTTAAACACTGTATTTCAAAGTGTGCTATGATACATTCATGGATCACAAAATCAAGAGAATGAGTCACAACCGCTATTTGTTTTAATGGAACAGAACAGAATCAAATAGAATAGTCAAGAACAGAAAATATGCACAGTCATGTACTGTGAAATTCGTGTTTGTCCCATCTGGTAAGTATGTGCACACTGAGTCTGGAGTAGTATACTCCTTGCTGGGAAGCTGGGTCAACATATGGTAAACGCTGGTCCAAGACAATGGATTCCAGGGTTCTTTTCTTTCTCACCACTTCTAGGAATAAAAGCCTCTCCCAGCAGGAATGGAGGGCATACTCAGATGTGAGGCTTAGGGCTGCACTTGAGGAATAGGGGGGACAATAAGGCAGAAGCTGCATCAAAATAAAGCAGGAAGCTAAGTACAAGTTCTTCATGCATTTAAAATGATACCTGTAGCCATGTGTGATGGCGCACAGCTGTAATCCCAGTGATTTAGGAGGCTGAGGCAGGAAAACTGCAAGTTCAAGGCCAGGCTCAGCAACTTCGTGAGGCCCTAAGAAACTTATGGAGACCCTGTCTCAGAATAAAAAAATCAAAAGGCTGGGAGGTGGCTCAGTGGTTAAGCACCCAGGGTTCAATCCCTGGAATCAAAAAAAAAAAAAAAAAGAAGAAGAAGAAGAAGAAGGAAGGGCGAAAAGAAGAAATAAATGGTACCTCTTGATGTTTTTCATATGCTGTGTCCGAGATGTTCCCAGCACTACCCACTTCTCAACCACTGGCTCATTTGTTTATTCATTCGTGTGGCAGGTGCCATGGAGGACACATTAGTAAATGAAAATGATAAAAATTAGTGACCTCACAGAGCCTGGATCGCAGAGGGGAAAATAAGGTGAGCAGGTAAAGAAATAAAATAAATAAGATGGTGACAGACGGTGCTACCCGCCAGGGAGGAAATACAGAGAGTGAGGAGCTGGAGGAGAGGAGACTGCCGCTGTGCGTAGGGCTGGGAGCGGCGACAGGGCTCTCAGAGATGCTTTGGACCTGATACAGCATCCAGGCCCAGGATGACCACAGGGCGCCGGCTCAGGTGAGGGCAGTGGAGGTGGAGAGAAAGACAGCCTCACCGTGCATTCTGGAGAACAG